TAAATATTGCTTCGGGTGCCCGAATTCGAGTAATGTCTTTGGTGCATCTAAATACGGACTAACGACTTAATGTAATTGCGGCAAACAAAGTAGATTTAGTAAATTATATCATTTTAATTTAAACATAAATAGATGTATATCCATCGACCATTTTTTGGGGGTAACAGCTGTATCTCCTTATAATTTTAAAACTCAAAAATCATTTATTCAGTCGAGGCTGTTACAGGCACTTGTGAAGGTCGAGAAGGTATACCATCAGTTCGCAAAACTACGGCGGGGGACCTTTTACTGAGAAGAACCGGCAGGAAACTCAGCAAGGGCTGTTTTTTTCCCTGTATTATTATATACAGAGTCGTCAAGTTGAAAATTGACTTCGAAGATACTTCTGAAGTCACCTTCCATTATATCATTTAGGATTTTATAGTTAACTTTATATTTTCAGTATATAGGAAGTGGCATTAGATACCACATTACGGTTATGGAAAACTTATTACAAGATACACTATGTTCATGCATTACGATCATTTAGGTAATCATGAACTTTATTATACCCCGCCCTTATTCATATGAGTATTCTTGATCTGAGATTTAAATTTGGTCAGTGGAAGCTCAATCAGATCTTAGGGAACTTTATAAAACAGTACAATACCACAACCCAGAAATGAACCTCTTGATTTTTGGAGTCTGAAACATGGAATGGCAAGCTTGTTTTTAAATCTAGTGTTATGGGTTGACTTTTTTGCAAATGCATTACAGTTTTTTCTTACATATCAAAATATTAATTTATTTAGATTTTTCTCTTACAGTATTCTTGCCTTCAAGTTTTATATTTAGCTTATGTTTTATAATTAGCAGCTAACCCCACAACAAAAGGCTATACGACTTAACGCTACGAAACAAAATTTATAGAGAGTAAAATTTTACCGGTCCATGAAAAGTAGTATTACTTACCTAGATAAAGATAGTTTATTACCTGCATTGCATCATCACCAGCCTATGAATGTCCCCACTGTTAGGCCACAAGCCTTTCCTATAAATGGTATAGGGAGATTAGACCGTGAACCACTACGCAGGCCCAGTGCGGATTGTCGGGTTCTTTCAACTGCAGATGCAGCCGGGACCAACGACTTAACATGCCTTCCGAAGCACAGAGGAGCTCGAAATAATAAAACCGCGCTTTGATGCAGATCTATGTGTCTATGTATGCTGTCTCTTTTGTTTGCTAAAAATAAGACAAAGACAGCATTAGGTTTAAACCAAGACTAACATTAGTCCACGTTTTGGAATAAGGCGGAATAAGTATAGCATAAAATGAAATTTTAAAACGGCCATTTTGAGTTGAAAAAACTGAAACTTGTTACATACATGAAGCGTTTTGTCTGGAAATATTGTTAAGTAATATTTTACAGTGAAGCAGTTGTGGTAATAAAATTTTCACATGCCACATACGTAATTAGTCTAACATTTTCAATCTCTTCTTCGCCAATGCTAGCTACTGGTCATAAAGCACAATAGTTGCAGCTAGAGATGGGCGTTTTTAGATATTTTTGGAATCGATGCGCATCGGTATCAGATAATTGGCATCGGATGCCCGCATCGATGCCTGCATCGCATTGATGCCGGCATCGCATCGATGTCAACTGAATGTCGATATCTTGTATCACATGATACGATGCAATATAAATTTCTACAGATGCGTGTTTTGTGTGGGTGTGTCTCTTCGATTCCTTGAATCAGGACTTGAAAATGTAATCGAAAACCATTCATTTACTTTTCGGTATGTTATCTGAAAAGGTTGAATGCTGGCAAAATTTAACAATAAAAAATTTCGCTCAGAGCGTAGGTTATGAACGCAGGCAGGATGCCAGGTTTGGATGCGCGCATCCGATACGACTGGATGCCGTTAATGGATGCCGATGCCATCTACTTTTTGTCATCGTTACTATAGCAACAGTGCCACAAACTTTTCCGGAGGCAAAAATTTGAACTATATTTTATCCATAGCATTTTGATATTTTTATGACAAATTTGTTCACCGCTAGCGACATCTCCACCGGCACAGATAAGTTTGTGGCACTGTTGCTATGGTAACGTTGACAAAATCTAGATGGCATCGGCATCCAATAACGGCATCCAGTCGCATCGGATGCGCGCATCCGAAACTGGCATCGTTATTCTAAAAACGCCCATCCCTAGTTGCAGCCTTTTTCTAATTCTAATTTGGAAAAAATATGTGTTAAAAGACAAGGCCATTTCGAGACGGGCTGCAGACTAAAGACTGCAGTGACACCACTTCTTTCTAGGAATCTGTGTGAAATTGATTTCGAACTCGGCGACACTGCGACCTGCGGTCTCAGCGCGTCGTCTGAGGAAGCGGCGCTTAGCAACCGCAGCGCAAACTAGTATGACTGAGGCATGATTCAATGCATTATGCAGTCGCGGTATGTCGCAGTGCTTGGAAAAATAACCACGACCGCAGGCGACTAGGGTTGCCAGATTGCCGGGAAATCCGGGATTGTCCCGGAATTTTGCGTCTTGTCCTGATATAAGAATGTGTCTTGAAATAAGACCTTATTGTCCTGGATTTTGTTAACGTGCTAGTTTCGTAACAAAATAAACTAATAACGAATGTCACCCCCAGAATTCAATCTGGGGAGGGGGATGCAAATGCCCGGAATTGATAAGCCAACATCTGGCAGCCACACAGGCGACACTGCGGTTGCAGTCGCTAGCCTCAGTGTCGCCTGCGGTTTCAGTCTGCCGCTTACTCGGAATTGTACCTTTATCTAACCAATCTCGAAATATTTTTTTTTAAATCATATGCTTGAAAATATGCAAACGATTTAAAGTTAGTATTTAGTAGAGTCACAATTAGTTGAGCGACACACCATAAAGCTATTAATCTCCTTGCTACATTTAAACGAGTGAGTGCAATAAAGTAGCCTGTAATTGGAACACGGTTTACGCGGGCATAACCGCGCGCTTTCTACAAAAGCCCCTGACCAAAGCTGAAGCACTACTGATCGCTTAACATAAGCAGGGTCATAAATATAATTGTATGCCACACTCTTTTTGATTAAAGAAAGGAGTATAATTTATAACATTAATGATATTTGCATTAAGGTTTGTTTATAAGTTCACAATTTTCTATTCCATGTAAGTGATGCATCATGAACGTACTTGAAAAGTTGTACCTGACACAGTGTAATAAGTAACATACTTAAATTTTATCGTATTTAGAACACTCCCCAAAATTATGACGTATTTTATCATTAAAGCCCTAAATAGCAGTCCATGATTTCTAAATGATACAGAGAAGTGAATCGATAAGCTATTTATATACAGACAGACGAATATGTTAATTAAATATCAAAAAGAAACATAAGTTAGCTGGAAATATCGCCAGTTATTTATAAACCTAATAAAAGCTAACGGAGCATATCGATAATTGAATTAATCGCTTAGAGTCTGCTTATTATAATAACGTTAATTAATTAATCATATACAATCGTTAATTTTCTTTCTTTGTCTTTGGTAAATTAAATTATTATTATCATCATCATCAACAGCCTATGAATGTTCCCTCTGCTGGGGCACAGGCCGTCCCTGCTGATGGAATAGGGCCTGGGTTCCGAACCTGGGGGTAATTACCCTTCCCGGGGTAAATTAGCCATACTGGGGGGGTAACAAAGAACCTAATTATTTGGTAAAATCTTAATAATAAGAAAATACTATATAATAATACTACTAAATGCGCTCCTTCTTGCTAGCGATCCCGCGGGGTGCTGAGTGTGGAAAGCGGGGCGAGATTATCTCCTGATGATGGCATTATTAGAGACGAAGATGTGGCGGCCAAATTGGAATTTCTTGGACTGATGATAACATTTTAAAGTCGGGGTAAAATCTGTTTTCCTAATAGGTTACAGGGGTAGCAGTATTGGAAAGGTTAGGAAACACTGGAATAGGGAGACTGGGCGGAACCACCACGCGGGCACAGTATGTACTGGTGGTTGACTGCAGATGCAGCCAGGACAAACGGCTTAACGTGCCTTCCAAACTATGGAGCTCGAGATAGCACATTTTTAGTCACCCATCCACTACGCAAGTTAGCTTCAATGATCGCAACCAACGCGCCATCGAGCTCCTCGAAAAGAAGTACCTCATTTATCTCACAAAATTATGTTACTTGATGCGTATGTTGTTAATGGCTCAGAAGATTGATAATAGTACCACATGAATACGTTTCTTTACTCATTTGCTAGCGCCTTAGAGCAACACGGCCGACGTTTACACGAGAAGAGTAGGAATTCACAGTTCTCCTCTCTAAATTTTCTTTTCAAAAACAAAGGACAAGACTGGTTTTTTGTTTATTATAGATTGGCATGTCGAATTTCATTATTTTGTAAAAAAAATGCTGGTGCCGTTAACATACCTTATAGTGTCCTATACTTAACTGACGACCTGACGTAGACACGGGCATAAACCGTCTCATTAACAAGCTCCCTTGGGCCTCGAATACACCGATGCGCAACGCAGGCCTTCCATATTATTCACATGGCCGTCACTGAGTGCTCCGCTGGTAGCGCCATCTCCTGACAAAGCGAGTAAAGCCTTGCTCCATTTAGGATGTTGCCACCACTGGATTATCTGTTTACGGACGAAATGTCTTTATGAAGGTGCCTGGCAGTATCCTAATATTCTATAATCTGTTTTAACGTATTCTAAAATTCCATGAGTGAGTAGGACTTTCATTCAGGCTAACCCTCTAATTCTCTTGAAATTTTGTATCGCCTAACCTTGCGTGTTTAAATGCTACAGTGTCACTTCGTCGATTACTCGTAGTAATTCTCACGGTGTAGCAGTTCATAACTTCTTCTTCTTCGCATCTGAGCTTTAACGCCAATTGTAATAAACAGGGGTAGAATCATTTGCCTACCTAGCTATTAATAAGAATAAAAAGGATGATAAGTCAATATTAAAGTATTGGTTTTATTTCACAGGTCCGTCGCCTCTCCCTTTGCCGTCCCCGTCGCCGTCTCTAAAATCGTACGACAACGAGTTGACTGTGACGTTTCCACCTCTGGACGACTTGTACAGCAACACGCCGGAGAAGCACTTCGGCACTGAGAACAACACGCTGGTGACATCACAGACCGGGTCCACGGCGCTGCTGCCGTGCGTTATTAGGAACATAGGAGATGGCATTGTAAGTAGAATTCTCTTTTTGAAGTGAAAACTTCTTTAGCGGCGTTGTACACTTTGTTTGTAATGGGTAAAAATTTTAAACTCGCGTCAGGACACGTGGCCTAATCGAAAATTCGTAAGACGAAAACAATAAAATTGGAAAGGTGGTTGACTTTCAATATATTGGACGAATATAATAATAAGTCTCTAATTAAGACGTCCAGGTGGCAGCTTTATTGCGAAGAAAATGCATTTTTTTTAAAATAGATGTCGCTAGGTGCGCTTAAATGTGATTCATGTGAGTTGATTTTTCTGAGAGATATACTTTTTAATGTAATGTAAATTGTCATTTTTGTGTACGATAGCGCTGCTTCGATGCGTCATTAGGAACATCGGCTATATCATTTTGAGTATAATAGACAATAAAAAAATCAAACACACAGCAATCAGCTTAGCAGCAAAGTTACCATTGTGAGTACAGGATAACAAGTATCCTAATTACAAAATCATGAGTACTACAGCCTCGCCACTTCACCGTATGCGCAGGGGACACGTCTGCTCTCGCCCGCGGCTATTTCAATAATGACCACTTAGTTCTTTTCTTTCAATAATGACAGCAAGTAATCACTCCGTTTTAATAATAATGTGAGATTGTTGCCATGCTTTTGTGTGCATACAACCATAGACTACGCACATCATGGACCAAGTATTATAACGATATCCTACGTCGATGACGCATACACTACACTGAGGTTTGAGTTATGGGTTATGAGACTCTAGGTTAGCGGATGGAATACATAATGAAAATGAAATGAAAATATCTTTATTTCAATTATTTTATTGTTTGTACAAAATTACAACTGCTCTCATATAAGGTTAGGTTAGGTTATGAGAGGCAGGCTCATTCTTACTATATAAATATAAATTACAATGAACATGTTATTATTATTCTATGTTATTAAAAACTAGAAACAAACAATTAATTTTAGTTTATGTGTGTCTGTGTGTGTGTGTGTGTTTGTGTGGATATTAATTTCTGTATAGATCTAAGACAAGCTAGTAATCGTTTGTACTATTTTTTCTAGATTGTCATAGTTAAATTGCTCCAACCATTTTATATCTAGTTGCTTATATAAGTCTGTTTTGTTAGAAACTTTGTACCGCTTATAATTATTTGAAGGAAATGAAAGCCATCCGTTCGACAGGAACACAGCTTTTACAATTTGTAACTCTCCTATTTACTGCTTGCTCAAAATTCATTGCATGGCGCTTCAAATTCGATTAATAGAGGCAAGCTCTTATTTCATGGGCAGTAGTCGTTCTCGTAATAGCCGTCACTGTTTGGTGCAATATTGGTTTGGCGGATATATTTAGACAGAAAAAATCATTACGTCTCCGAAACACCTTAATTTATCTATCCCACATTTTTCTTACAATATGGCCGTTATTTCAGAAGGAGCAACCGCTACCCGAATGTCAAATTTACATAAACCGTGGCTTAAGAGAAAGAATTTTACCGGTCGCATCTTAGAATAATAACATTTATGCAATGGCATCTAGCTCATGTCCATACATAATAATATGACGCATACTACCACTGTGCATGCATCTCCTTTGGTATTAATGACACCACATTAATACTCTTCGTACGCAGTATGGCTTGGTTCAACCCTGAGAGCATTTCGAGCATTTCATGGAGCATACTCAAGCGAGTCACAACGTGAGTTGGCAATTGCGGAAGATGGCGGAATAACAAATCTTATTTTAAAAATATTAATTGTATTAATTTTTCTCCGTGACTTTTTACAAATTTTCTTTACAAACCTTATCCTGACAATAACGAACACAATAAAAAGAGAATTACTTAATTTGATACAGTTATATACATTTCAACTATTCGTTTATACAATGCTCACCTTTGAATGAACAAACATTTGCCCCATCAGGATTCGAAACCGGAAGTTGACTAGGCGCAACCTTAAAATCTGACGTTCATACGACTCGTGCAACGGAGATCATCCAATTTAGCTGAAACGGCTGAGTTAAGAAATGTCTCTTCACAAACATTTTCATTTTAAAATACTCCGTTGTAACATAGTTGGTATTGTACACCTGGGAGGATGAAATGTGGATGCAAGTTTATGTGTGTATTTGCTATCTGAAGTTAATAAAGGAGTTGGTATTTAGACTTCTGAGTATCCAGAGAAATTGATTAATGATAGTAACTTTATCCTCAAAGGGGTTAAACGAGCAATGAAAGCAAAAGAGCTCACGTGCTAATTAAAATATATTTCTCAAAAATAATACATCATCAAGACTTCAATTAATATCAAGAAATCAAATATATATTAAACGAAGCCCTCGAATGCTCGACAACGTGAAAATCTTCATTTGGCGTAACTTTTATATATCAAAATGTTACCCTAATTTGGCGAGAGAATTATTACTCATGACACGATGTACGCACACATATACATATATACGTACACATATTATGTTGTTCGCAATATGTTGGAAACAGAGAAAAATACTCTTACATCCCGACACATTTCTCCGCAGAAATGCTCCATAAAAATGTATTTATTTACCTTATGAATTTCACGGCGCGCTCCCTGACGTTTGAAGCTAAAATTATATTGTTAGGCATGCATTTTTCCTACTCTCATTAGTTATCTTCCTTAATTAGTTAGTTCTGCATGTAGGTAATTACTTTTTGAAATCACTTTAATAATGAAATCTTTATATGGAAACTCATTATATTCAAAATACTACAATTTGGAAGCGGAATTATTACCTTATTTGCCAATTGAAATTGGTAGACCTAAACTTCACATTAAAATTTAGTTTAATGCGAAAAAAAGAAAAAAAAGTGGGAGATGCGTTGCTACTTACTTGCAGATAACTAAAAGAATCAGCGAAATGAGTGCCTTGGTTTTGGAATACAATTAGAGAATGAACAATGATACTCCTGAAAGATTCTCAATGCCCATACCTATCTATTATAATCTTTGTAATTTAGAAATGTACTTATAACTTTGCTAAAATGAGTTTCCTTGTGGATCTTTCGCGTATCGGGGATAAATCTACTCCCATTGCACCATTAATCCTTAAACAATTTCTATAACGGGTTTAAATTGAACCCTTTTCTGAATATTCCAAAACTTCGTTTACAGATGTTCAAAGCTTTTAGGCCCGCTACTGTCGTAAGTATTCATTATATTTACCACCGTTTTCGCATAAAAACTGTTATCTGCCCAATTAACATTTACATTGCATCTTAATTCAAATTTAAAACACTGGGTCTCATCATCAGTCAATTACTGAAGAAAAGTGTTGATATTCTGGGAAATTTGCATTGGAACTCGAGAGTTAATTTGAACCGGTAAAAGCTCAGAGTAAGGTTGGATATTCTTACCTTTAAATAAATTAACTTGGCCATTAGGGAGCGGGAGTCTTTATCAAGAGTTGGTAGGAATCGTTGAAGATAAAAAGATTGCTTTTGGCGGAATAGGTACGCTTTCCCGAAATTTCGGCGTTCCTAAGTGCCATAATGCTGTTGGCTCCAAGTTACAGATGAATTTCAACCATGGTTTATTTTTTCTTATTCGACGAACTTTGCATTCATTACGGTTGAGTAAATGCTTTTGTGACCTTAAGTAATCGATCTAATGGCTAAGTTGTGCGAGTCATTTCATTTATCAGTAAATATTTTTTCTAAGAATACATAATACCAGTGTTTTGATATTGTAACGACAGTGATTTATTGGTACTCAGAGTTAGAATGCTTAACTTATACATGCCACTTGATTCGAAAACGAATAATACCCCTTTATGCCCAGAACTATTTTGAACTTCCAATTTTTGTAAATTTTGCATATGTTTATGCTAATTGGTCTTTCGTAATATATTAACTACTTTAATGAAAGTCATCATAAGATAAGTACATTTTTTTTAATTGTTCGAAAACGAAACATCGCAAAATACCCTTACATTTACTGTAAGTAAATAAACAACGGATTTTTGTCCATTTAGTTATTTTTAAAAGAGAAATCATATTTAAATAATAGAAATTAAAAAATGAAATGCAATAAAATATTTGAAGTGTAGATGAAATTGATGCTTTTGAGACAAAGTGACCGTCAGGTTTGTGCAGAAAGTACAACGAAGTCCGGCTTTGCACTTTAACGAGCATATGTCCCAGCATTTCAATTTTGGACTGAAGATAGACATATTTTTGAAAACCCTTTTTTAAGAACCGACGGTAATTAATGCCGTACTTATGAAGTAGATTTCAGATAATACAACGCGACGAATGTTGCATTGTTTACAAAATAGAAAAAATGTATTGGGTTAAAAACTTCCGATGCAGTCACTACTCTTTTTATTCTTGATGGTGGAGCGATCCACTTAAAGTCCATTACAGAAATAAAGAAATATAGTGTCGTTTTACCCATTGTGAGCTCATCGGGAAGTGGACAAGACTGCCCGCCCTCATCTCGATTAGGGCAATCTCGTCTAGTTTGGTAGGAAGGAAGCTTAATAGAGAGGAAGATCCTCTTTTTCAAACTCACTGCCATCATTGTTAACACAGTGAACCCTAAAAGTTATCTTACTGATAAGTTCTCATTACTTACATTTATCTCAACTCCAGAATCTAAATCTGAAATTAATTCATCGCCGTGGTAGTCAAAATATATACCTAAGCCTGTCACCAATTGCCCAAGTCTAAATCATTGACAATTTCGACTAAATCGTTTGTTGTGAAGACTGCTCCTACTGCAATACAAAATGCATATTTTGTATAATACATACCTATATTTGCCCAATGTATCGTTTTCTAAACGCTGTTTATTTATTCACCTTTAAGGTTTTTTTAATAATTAACTGGATATAATTACACGAATATATTCTGGACTCATCTAAATACACAAAACTCATAAATTTGATCTGATTCGGACAGATAGTTCATTTTTTCGCGTTGATTTTTACACAGTGAAATTAAGTCACAACTTGTATCGATTC